CAGCCGCGTCCTAGGTAAGACGATAAACTACGTCCAACAGCAAGGCCTCTGATCACGAGGCTTTGAGGAGAGTGGAATCAACTCTTAATTGCTGGTGTTCCTAAGTCCACCCTGACACGGGGTGGTAGCACCTGTTAGGGTCCCAGCTATGGGCAAATAGTTACCCCGAAACTGAGGTAAAAAGCATTATGAAAGTGTAAAAATAGGTTTTAATACCAGAAATACTTTGTAAAAAATTATTACCAGAAATAAATTTTTGAAGGAAAAAACTATTACCAGCAATACGTTTTTGAAGAAAAAAAAACATTACCAGCAATACATTTTTTAAAATAATATTACCAGCTATACATTTTTGAGGAAAAAAATATTACCAGAAATAGATTTTTGACAAAACAAAAATATTACCAGGAAAAAAAAAGGTGTCAGCATTAAATGACCCATTGAGGTTGATATGCCGTAAAACAAAACAAACCAACGAAACAACCCTTTGCGTCTTAGTGGTTTTATTTCCTTTTCTGGTGTAAAATGATAAAAAATATTTTGTCGAAAAAAAAAAAAAAATGACACAATCTGTTTTCCAAAAAGGGAATATTTTGACGTAGGGGAGAAAAGGCACTTAAAAAATTTCAGGGTTTTTGGGTAACTGAAAAACAATATGACAAACAATACTTCGCCACTTCTTTTGTGTCAGTGTCCCTTCATGACATAAGCGATCATCATAGGATGAGGAATCCTATACTTACTAGAGCGGGACAAGGAGACGACCATTTTACCTGCAGCTGTTTACGTAAATGTTTAAAAATAGGACAGAAAATATATATATATATATATATATATATATATATATATATATATTGATGAAAATTGTTTTCAAAACTGGAAAGGATCAGTATAAAGATAAGTAGATACAATACGTCTATATTATTCAATGAAACATGAAATTGTTGTCCCCCCCCACAGACTTTGAAATGTACATATGGGGACTATTTAGGATTTCATAGCGAATTTGAGTTATTATGGTGGACGCAGTAAGAAAGGTAGGAGTGAATGTGTTGTTTTGGGGATAGGAATATTGTTGGTATGGTTGGGTCCGTGCCTGTGACTAGATAAGTTTAGAATTAAGACAGAAGAAGACCGTCCTTCCCCCAACCCCCTTTTAGGCCTTGTGCCACATTTTGTACAAACGTACGAATAAATAAGTATTCAATGAAACCTGTTTGAATGAAGATATGCTGCCTATATATATATATATATATATATATATATATATATATATATATATACAGTGTAACCCGGATATAAGAGACCCGAATATAAGAGAAACCCGGATATAAGAGAGATTTTTTCTGGTCCCAAATTAGAACCAGTGTTAATGTATATAAAATAGACCAAACCCGGATATAAGAGAAACCCGGATATAAGAGACTTCTTCTCCGGTCCCAACAACTCTCTTATATCCGGGTTACACTGTATATATATATATATATATATATATATATATATATATAATAAATCCTAATGAGCCAGGTACTACCTACCGGGGTTTCACCACATGGGATCACCCGGGTGAACTGACTCATTAGGATTTATTTATTTTATCTTTGCTTTACTTAGTGTATTGAGCACTCTTCCTTTTAACTTGTTACTCGCTGGGTTTTTTTTCTTTGTAGCAGAGATCTTAGGTACTGGACGATTTCATTCACCCTTTTGGAAGGTTTCTGGTGCTTTTCTTTTCTTTTTTTCCCTCGGATTCCATTTCCTTTGAAAATTGTGGTATCCAGGTGTGTGTGTGTGTGTGTGTGTGTGTGTGTGTGTGTGTGTGTGTGTGTGTGTGTGTGTGTGTGTGTGTGTGACAAAACATAAACAAAACTACAACTTGTAATACTTGGGATGACCCATGCCCTTTATGCCTACATGAATTAGCATAGAAAACAAACAAACAATTAAATAATAAATACAAATTTTAAACTCCATAGTCTAAATAAAAAGTTTAAAAGCCCTACCCAATAAAAAAAATAACTCTTTATGAAGTCGTCAAAAAAAAAAAAAAAAAAGAAATGTCAGCTAATTATGACAGTTTTTTTTTATATATATATATATGTATATACAAAACCCTTTCAGGAAAGAAAATGAAAGAAAAAATAAATAAATAAATCTCCATAGACGCTTAACCAGACTAGACGATGTCATCTTCCGCTTTGAATTTAGACACCCCAACCTTACCCTGACTTGACGTCTTTGAATGTAACTGAGATATTGATACAAATTATTAACCCTTACGCCCCCTTTTAAAAAAAATAATAATTGCTCTAGCCGTTACCATAGTAATTTTAATTTCAGTAATGAATATGCTTATAAAAACGCTTAAATTTCAAGAATTAGTTATTCCAAAAAGAATTTTGTTTGAAGATGGAACAGAGCTTGGTACTTTAATTCAATTTAATTCTAGTAATTATATTGAAGTTATCGGCTCTTGTTTTGAAACGTGAGAACTCTTATGTAGCGATGGAATCATATTTTTTAAATAAATAATATATATATATATATATATATATATATATATATATATATATTTATTTATTAATCCGACATATTTTTACCACTTTAAACGCTATTTTTATTGGATACTCATATTTGAGTAGACGCCTTCGTTTATATATTAAATTAAACAGCATGTTTATTTATTTTCGTCTACCAACCTGAACACCCAACAAAACGCCATAAATTAAAAATGACCCTCACGCCCGGAGAAAATTCAAACCTGCATCCCACCTGCAGGAGAAACTGCCGCTAGATCCGATGTTCAAACCCCGGTAGACGAAAATAAATATACTGTTTAATTTAATAAAAAAACAGAACGTATACTCAAATATATGTATCAACAAAAATAACGTTTAAAGTGATAAGAACTGTCTGATTAATAAATAAAAAAATGATTACTTCTTTATAAATATGTATATAAATGTTTGCGACTTGTTCCGCTTCCAAAATGAAGTTGCTCACTATCAATCTTCTGAGAGACGTCCTTTCTACCTTTTATCAGTTTATGTTGTTTTTTATTATTATTATTATTATTAAATATCCCACACTGTGATAATAGAAAATAAAGAAACGTGTAAGCGAAACTGGCGGGAAACCATCGATAGTTGTACTAGCAAGAACACACATCGTCATCAACTTTATTTACATTATTCGGACTACTGTCCTTATCTTTTTCGCCATATTTATCACAACGTTTCGGCCGTTGTACGCTCCGGCCTTCTTCAGGTGGTTGGAATTTCGAACTGAACCCTTTATTTCGCTCACTGGGGTAGACTGTTCTGGGTGTCAGTTATCAGTTATCTCCTGCTAATTTCCTTAATGCAAATAATGTACATAATACCTCATCTCAGAAATATAGACAGACTCAAAAAAAAAAAACTTGTTAAGTACGCCAGATTATGTGCTCTCTCCCTGAAACTAAAACAATTTGTACAATCTTTATAAATTTAACGTTTCACTATGTATTTAGCTTCTTTTTTTTGGCACGAAAAAGTTTCGGGGAGATCCGTAACGTCTTAATGTACCGGGAGAGTATAATTCCCTTGGTTGTAGAAGGACGTTGTCCCTACTGCTGGTCATGTGGTGCAATTGGACACATGGCAAAGGAGTGTCCCGGCAAGATCACGGCGCCACGGCCCAGCCAAGCAGAGTTAACCTCCAGTAGAGTAAATGGTTTTACCTTTTTTTCCGTTGTCATGAAATGAAAATATTATATTGAATCCGTTGTTAAGTCAGCTGCTAAGTAAGTTGGTTCACTGCGTCGTGCTACACAATTTCTTTTTTCTCCAGAATCTATCTTAAATATTTATAAGCCTACCATTCATACATGCTTTGAATATTCCAGCCACATATGGTTTTGATGATCCAGCAGCATCGTGAACAGTGGAATAGGTGCATTCAATTGGGGTGTCTTTAATTGAAGTTTCTTTCCAACTGTGAAAACAAAATGCTCTCAATGTGCTTGGTTTCCTTCCATAGTGAAGAAATAAAAGTGATAGGTTTAGTTTGGCTTGATTTGATTTGTTTTGTTATACGGCATATCAACCTCAATGGGTTATTTAATATTTTGTTTTGTCAAAAATCTGTTTCTGGTATTTTCCTTCAAAAATGTATTGCTGGCATTATTTTTTTTTCAAAAGAACTATTGCTGGTAATATTTTTTTTTCAAAAATGCATTGCCGGTAATAGTTAACTATTTGCCCACAGCTGGGACCCTAACAGGTGCTACCACCCCGGTTCAGAGTGGACCCGGGAACACCAGCAATTAAGAGGTGGTTCCACGCTCCTCAAAACATCCTGATCAAAGACCTTGCTGCTGGACGTAGTTTATCGTCTTACCCAGGACGCGGATGTAGTTTATCTTTATACCCGGGACGGTAAAAGTGATAGGAAGAAGATTTTAGAGATTCATTTCTTTTTTTTTTTTTTTTTTTTATTTCACCTTAATTATCAGGTTTACTAAAGTGTATTACTGATAAAGATTATTTGGCGATAAATTGGAAAAATTTGGTACTTCTCTTTTTAAATTTTTGACTTGAAAACACTTTTTCTCTTATAAAATAGTTTATTTCGGGTGGCTGACATAAACAGTTCGGCCTACCTGAAAAGTAATGAGTATCTTCGACCGTTATTGAATAAATTTTGCGATCAGCCAAGATCTTTTTTTTTTCCAAAAATGAGCAATTTCAGTACAGCAAAAATGGTAGTCAACCATGAAAAACTAGGGCCATTTTCGAAGTCAGCACTATCAAATTAGCTAAAAAAACGTTTATTGTGTCTTGGCACTAAAAATCGTGCTGACCAGTGTTATCAACGTATATATACAAAACAATAGTGTTGAGATTCAGCGCCCTTAAATTAACTAAAAAAAAAAATCATGTTTGGTGTCTAGACACCAATTACAATTTTTTTTTTTTTTTTTACTAGTGTTAGTAACGATTACTATTTCTCAATTTCAGATCTGCGGTTGCTTTTTACTTGGCGTTGGAATCTACACGCGAGCGAATCACAATGAGCTTTGTATCACGACTTTGGGAAGTAACCTCTTTCTACCTTTCGCGCTGACTCTGATTACTGTCGGAAGTATCATCATTGTCTTGTCGTTTCTGGGATGCTGTGGAGCTATCAAGGAAGTCCGATGTATGCTGGCAACGGTAAGTGACGACTAGAATTTATATTCGTCGCATTATTCTCTTTCCGTTAATCAATCACAAACTCTTTTCTCGTGTTTGAACTATATGTCCTTGAGGAAAATCTATATCAAACTGGAAAAAAAAAATCTTTCCGCGTGACCCGTTCCGTCCTTTAGGACTTCATCGAACTAAAGTGATGTTTACGTTGATGTGATTACACATACGCATGAAGGAGAGGGGACGCTGAAATTTTAATTTTTTTATTTTTAAAGATGTGTTTGTTTACATTTTCTACGAGATTTTATTTAGTTTCTTCTTTGTTAATGTTTTTTTTTATTATGACACTATGATAATAGAAAATAAATAAACATAATAAATATTATGACACTATGATAATAGAAAATAAATAAACGTGTAAGCGAAACTGGTGGGAAATCGTCGATGGTTGTGCTATCAAGAACACACAAGTCATCGTGACAGAGGGGTTGAGCGTACTGGCTTTGTTAAAAACAAAAAAAAATCTTGTTAAGTACGCCAGATTATGTGCTCTCTCCCTGAAACTAAAACAATTTGTACAATCTTTATAAATTTAACGTTTCACTATGCATTTAGCTTTTGTTGGCACGAAAAAGTTTCGGGGAGATCCGCAACGTCTTAATGTACCGGGAGAGGATGATTCCCTTGGTTGTAGAAGGACGTTGTCTCTACTGCTGGTCATGTGGTGCAATTGGACACATGGCAAATGCGTGTGCCGGCAAGGTCGCGGCGCTACGGCTCAGCCAAGCAGAGGTAGTGTCCGGCGAATTTCCTGACGGAGAATGGACAGAGGTGAGAAAGAAGGAACGAAAGATGCCAAGCCTGCAGCAGAAGGTCTCACGGCAACCACAACCCAAGGAGCTGCCGGAGCCGGAAAAGCACCCCCAACCGCTGCTTCAGCCCCCAAATTTTGGAAATGAAATGACGAAGAGTTTTTTTTTGTTTTTTTTTTTTTTTTTAAGCATTACGCCCCGAGCAAGGCGTGAAGCCACTAGAATGCAGGGGGTTGCAGAAGATTTGGAGCGAGAGCAGATAGGAGTGATAGAAGAAAGGATGAGGAGAAGGATAGTGGATAGATCAAGGTAACTGGAGATGTCGATTGATATTACATTTGAATAGTTGGAAATTATAGCTCTCAGGGAAACAAGAAAAGGGAAGTGTGTTCCACAGGCGAGAGGTGCGAGGTATGAAGCTATTGGAGTAGAAGAGACGGCTACATTTAAAAGTTTCTACAGTGTAAGGGTGAGAGCGGGATGCCAGCCTCGTAGGGCGCTTGAATTCATGGAGTCTGGGAACCAGTGAAAGCAGCTCAGCGGAGCAATTACCATGAAAGTATTTTTCAATTTTTAAATTCTCTCTTTTTTTGTTTCCATTGTCCCTGTAAAGATCACATGTATATTCTATGGCGTTAATGTTTATGCATGTATCAATTTTTAAATTCTATATTTTGTTTTCAATGATTGTGTCGGTGCCATGATGTCTGTTTAATTCTTGAAATATTAACATAATTTAAGTGTGCATTTAGAATTTTTTTGTAGTTCATTTTAATAACATGATGGTTTTTTTTTAAATCATTTCACCCCAATCAAGACGGGAATGCTACTAGTACGCAGGGGTTTACAGAAAATGAAAGCGTGACAAAATACAGGGTACGGAGGTGAAAGGACAAAAGATAAACGGGGTTCAAGACGGCAGAAGATGGCGATTGATTTTGCATTTAAATTTTTAAAGATTGTAGTTTTCATAGAAGCAGGTAAACGGAAGGGAGTTCCGCAGTCGGGAAGTGCGAAGAAAGTAGCTCTTGGGGTAAAAGTGGCGGTTACATTTAACTATTTCAACTGTAAAAGGGTGAGACCTAGATGCCAATCTAGTAACATGTTTGAATACAGGTGGTCGGGGTACCAGGAAAAAATCTCGTCAGAGCAAATGCCATGAAAATATTTGTAGAAAAGACAGATCTGTTTCGATAACATATTCATTGAGAATAAGACATCAATCTGGCGCAAATATTAATGACGTATGTACAGTTCTGGAATTAACATTTGTAAAAAAAATAAACAAATCATAGATGACTTTTTTAAAAAACCTCACAGATCGATTCGATACTAATCAAAAAAGTGCGGAAACTTAAATATCTGAAAAGTGTTTTAGCAGAGGACGGACAATGTGGCACTGAAATCCGAAGTCGTATTGGGATAGCTAAAGAAGCATTGCAAAAGCTAACCAGAGTACTAAGAAATAGAAAAAAAAAGTACTAAACTTCTACGTTATATCTGTGCTCCTGTATAGCAGGGAGTGCTGGACTATCTCCCCAAAAGATGAAGAGGAGACTTAAAGCAACAGTAATCTGATTCTACAGAAGGATGCTGAGGATACCATGGACCGAACATGTGAGCAACGACAAATTTTTGGAGAAAATGGAAACAAAATGGAAACTAATACGTAACACCAGGAAAAGACGGTTGCGGTTTCTGGGGCATATAAGGAAGAAGGTGGGGGGATCCTGATACTCACGGGACTGATTGAAAGCAAGAAGACAACGCATAACACGCTTAGTGAGTTTGATTAAATGGATAGCAGAACAGGGCTTAGGAGAAATAACAGAAAGACAAAGTTTATTAAGAGCTACATGAGACAGGAAGTTGTGGAGAGCCATGATCATCTACGTCTTGAACGGACACGGCATATAAATAAGAATTGTATTATCAGCAGGACTTCCCTTTTTGGGGGTCAATACGAATAATATTCATAGAGCGATATTTTTCAAAGTTTAAATTGATGAATGATCTTAAATGTTTATATCTATTAGGTTGGTGCAAAATTAATGACGTAATAATGTCGTTTTTTGACGTTAAAAATACGTTAAAAAACGACATTATTACGTCATTATTTTTGCACCAACCTAATAAAAACAATGGATTTTTGCAATAGGCTCTGTAACCAGAAATAATCATTTTTTCCAAATTATTTTTCATATTACTATTGATTGAACACTCATTATTAAATTTTATAAAAGTGCGTGGTCGTTTGCTATCTAAATGTATTGTATTGGTTTGGTTTGGTTTGGTTTGGTTTGGTTTGGTTTACGGCATACCAAGCTCAATGGTTTATTTAATGCCGACAAGGTTTTTATTGTTGGTAATTTTTTTTTCAAAAAATGGATTACTAATAATAAATTTTCCCAAAAAGTATTGCTAGTATTAAAACCTATTTTTATACTTTCGTAGTGTTTTGACCCCCTTTTGTGTGTGTGTGTGGGGGGGGGGGTAACTATTTTCCCATAGCTGGAACCCTGACAGATGCTACCACTCTGGGTCAGGGAGGACTTGGGAGCACCAGCAATTAACAGGTGGTTCCATGCTCCTCGAAACCTCCTGATCAAAGGCCTTACTGTCTGGTGTAGTTTATTGTCTTACTTAGGACAGTAAATTTATTGTAAACTGTTTTCCCGACGCAAGCCAAAACAAATATGCCTATATGAACTTTCCTCTATGGTACCTAGACGCTAGGAATTTGAGCGCAGTACTCGATTGTCGGCAAGGTCTCATCATTGTACAGTTGAAATGGCGAGATGTAACCGTAAGTTCTATGCTAACAGTTTCTTCTCTCGCATTTCTTGCTCTTCCGGCTTTTCCTTTCCAATGAACTTTGATCTTCAAGAATTTAAATGAATTGCCAATCGTTATCTTCTATCTTCTTAATTCTTCTTCTTATATTTACATCTTTTATTTATCTCCCGGCCATTGTTCTCATCTTTGTTGCTGTTTTCTTCGCACAAACATTAATACCTGTTCTTTTATTTTTTCTCTTGCTTTTTTTGTTCTTATGTTCTTCACTCAGTAAGCCGTTGCGGATGAAGGATTTTATTATCTTGCTTGGGGTGAAATGTTTACAATAATGATGTGATTTCTTAAAATATTAAGAAATAAAAAAAATATTTGAAATTCATAATCTAAATCAATGTTTTCCAAACTTTTTTTCAACCAACGCCCCCGTTGGGCACAAGCTCTACCCCCACTTGTCAAATGAAATTTTGAATATTATATTGAATTCATCTTTCATAGAAAGATAACACTTAGGTATTAAGTACAAAAATAATTTTAATATTGTTTTCATTTCTATTAGAAATGTCAATGATTAAAATTCTGAAAAAAAATTTATTTGATAGCTTATTTCAGTGTTTCCAATTCGATGGTTGACTTTGGTGCTTACTGGCTAAGGTTCTTACTCTAGGTCCATATAACAGATTATCTCAATGTTTTCAATGCGATGGTTGACTTTGGTGCTTACTGGCTAAGGCTCTTACTCTAGGTTGATATAATTGATTTTCTCAATGTTTTCAATGCGATGGTTGACTTTGGTGCTTACTGGCTAAGGCTTTTACTCTAGATTCCTTTGATAGCTTATCCCAATATTTTCAATGCGATGGTTGACTTTGGTGCTTACTGGCTAAGGCTCTTACTCTAGATTCATTTGATAGCTTATCTCAATGTTTTCAATGCGATGGTTGACTTTGGTGCTTACTGGCTAAGGATCTTACTCTAGGTACCACGCTTCTTGGAAGCAATCGTACATCTCCTTGTTTTGTAATCTGAGGACGGTTTCTTTGTTTAGTAAGAAGCTATGGAACTGCGTTGAAACTACATTCAGCCATGCAGGAACTTGAAAAAGCAATGAAATAATGTTTGATTGCTTCCCACAGCTTTAAATACCTCTCAGAAATTTCCTTTTGTAACCAATATTGAATAATTTTTGAAAATTTGAAAAACAAGTCGATAAATGCCAATCGCCCACTGAGTATGTTCATTACCCCATAAATGTAATAAAAATTCCCAGTGCCCCTTTTCAACATAACAAAACTCATAAGTGGGCGCTAGCGACTACATTGGAAACACTGATCTCAATTGATAAAAGTTACTATAGGGTGACCCAAAAAACGGGAATTTTTGAAGTGCATATTGCCAGACATGAGCAAGTGGCAACACTGCGAGACAGTGACCTTGAGCAAGTAAAAAATTCCGCCATTTGGAATTCAAGATGAAATTCACAATATCCCAGCTGAGATGTTGCAACAGACAATGAGGAATATCAACAGCAGATTTCAAGAATGATTCATTCGTACAGGAGGTCGCCATCTACAGGACGTAATTTTAAAAAAAATGAAAATTCCAACAATGTTTCTTGAATGGCATGTTTTAAGGTTTCAATTACTATGAATAAAATATTTTTCTTCCATCACTTTTGGTTTTATTGGATTGTTAAAAGTTCCCGTTTTTTTTGGGTCACCCTGTATTTTTCTATTTTAAGAAATGTCATGGCTTGATGATAGTCGAATGAAGGTCAATCTGCCAAAATTATTTCTCGAAAAAAATTACCCTATTTATTTTTTTTTTTTTAATGAGAGGTCTTGTAGTTCCACAATAATAAAGATGAGGGTATTAACTTGTATAAGACCTTAGATGCGAAGAATACTTTACCCGAAAACTTTATACAACTTCTTTATATATATATATATATATATATATATATATATATATATATATATATATATATATATATATATATATCTTTACCAAGGCCTCACGCTTCTGATTTGTTGCCATTTGAGATATTGATTCTGTGAAGTTCAGTTTCACAATATTGTTTATTTGTCTCTTTTTCTTATCGCTGTCTCATTGTTGTTGTTTTTGTTTCAATTCTTTTTATACCCCGTTGACTTTTAGATTTTATTTTTATTTTCTGATATTTGAACTATTTCTAGCAACAACCCTGGCAGCAAAAGATTCCTCAATCGTTTTTTTCTACTTTTCTTACATACACACACACACACATATATATATATATATATATATATATATATATATATATATATATATATATATATAAGAGTTTATATATATATATATATATATATATATATATATATAAACTCCTTTCGACTGCCTCTCAGAGCAAAACGAAAACGTCACGAAACGACAAGCAGAATGTCAGTCAGTGTTTCTCAACGCAAGAATCCTTTGATGGGAGACAGTGTTTTTTTTTTTTTGTTTGTTTTTTTTTTCTTTTCAATTCCAGAGAAAAATAATTTTACCTTGCTTTTTCAAAGTTTCAAGTTTTCTTTTTCTTTTCTTTTTCGCCAATTTTTCGATACAAGAACTATACCGTTTCTATTTAAAGAAAACTTCATGTATTTTCGTAATTCTCAGTCAAGAATTTTCTTCGAACTTTTTTAATACTGATCAAGAATTATTATTTTAAGCAATCCAGACAAGAGTTGCTGTGGAATATCTTTGTAAAGCTGTCAGAGATAAAAATAAGTTCAACTTCTACTGACAGCGTTTGAATCATTTTTTTTTTAAGGCCGACTTCATGCAAGCAACATTGTTCTTCCTCCTCTTGGCAATACGTAATCTAAAATCATGATTTTATGTAAGATGTTGGTTTAGCCCAGTAAATATTCAACACTTTCAGACAGCATTTTATTATCTTCCCTTCAGGACGTCTGCGACTATGACTCTTTACCGATTTTGGTATAGTATTTTTACATTGCTATGCATTATTGGGAAGGATAGTGACTGGTTTCCCGTTAACTTCCCCACACTTTGGAATTTACAGTTTTCTTTCTCTCAGAGGCTTTGTCGTCAAAACCCAGAGATTCCAGCCTAACTTGCTATTTAATTCTTACCTTGGGGGCAAAGACACAGATTGTCGCTTTTCCCCAGACATTATTACAAAAGTGAACGCAACAGACTAGACTGGAATTTGAACTCGTCTCGCCGATTTTATTTTATATCCCTCACACTGCCACTGGATTTGAATGGAAATTAACAAACCATATTGCACACAGCGTTCCAAAGCTTCCACTCTCTTACTCAGCTGATCCCACAGCATGTAGTGATTTCGACATAGCTCAAATTGTGGGCTATTGTAACTGGGTAGTTTACAATTGTTGCCATATATCATACTAAAGAATGATCATTATACTTCAACGATATATGTAAATGGGTTTTTGTTTTTAATTTAACTGTCCATTTTACCATTTTAACTTTTCATTTATATATGTAAATGTGTTTTTTTTTTAATTTAATTGTTTATTTTACCTTTTTTGGCTATTTATTTGTTTATTCATTTTAAATAAAATATAACGCTTACAGGCTTTTAGCCGATCAACCATTCCTTCTATTTGAAGAAAGGTGGCTGGTAGGACTTAATGTAAACAGATTCCAATACTTCCGGAATTAACTCTGCTCATTACTGAGAATATGTCTTGATTATAAGACCGGGCGTATTTCTGGTTTTTACCAAATTGCTCAACTACCGCCAACCTACATTATTCATTCACCTATGATACGTGTTGATTTACCCGTCCTTCCAAACTCTGACCTGTTATTTATTTATTTAATTAGAGATTTTATCGATAACTAAGTATCATTTTAAGAATTGTATCAGCTTGTAAGCGGTTTCTCATACGGGAGTTCCGCACAGACATTTAAATCGTTGAGGTGACAAACTGAGTCCTCTCCCTTTATTGCATTGCAGTTGACATTCGCCTCTATCCGTTTAGAAGAGGGATTTGGGTTGGCCTGGATGTCAGGTCCCACATTTCAGAGTATGGGTTCCATTTTCGTTTCTCGGACAAACTTTGGATGTTGTTTATGATATTTTGTATGCAACATCAAACTAAAGTCGCTTGCATAGTTCCCAGTGTGCCGCTGCTCCGACTCTATCATACCTGATTTGATATTTCTCATTTTTCAGATTTTTTTTTGACATTCACTTAAAACGTTTCTTTCTCTTCTCTCTCCATTTAAACGTTTTCTATCTTTATCTGTTTTTCTTCTTTTTTTAAACGTTTCCCCTCTTTTCACCCCTCGTCTTCTCTCTCTCTCTCTCTCTCTCTCTCTCTCTCTCTCTCTCTCTCTCTCTCTCTCTCTCTCGCTCGCTGGCGTTTCTTTGTATTTCTCTCCATCATGTCTTTCAATTTTTCATTCCTACTCTTTCTGTCTTTTTTTCCCTTCATATCTTTTTCTTTTCCTTCCTTTTCCTCTCTCTCTCTCTCTCTCTCTCTCTCTCTCTCTCTATATATATATATATATATATATATATATATATATATATATATATATAATTATTTATTTAAAAATATGATTCCGACGCTACATAAGTTGGAATCATATTTTTAAATAAATAATTATATTTATGCTCTACTTTTGTATCGAGCACTATTTTTTTTAAAATAAGAACAAAAATACTAAAGAACTTTGGATTATTTACCTAATGAGTTCTTTCCTATTTTCTATATATTTTTACATATATATATATATATATATATATATATATATATATATATATTTCTGCTTTCATTTTCCTCTCTCTTTTTATCTTTCTGTCTTCCAGTCTCCTCTCTCTGTTTCTTACACCAGGCATTTTCCTATTTTTGATCTCCCCTCCCTTCTTTCCCTGTATGTTATCCTATTTTAACTCTCTTATTATAGCCTGTTATTTTTGTTCTTTTTCCTTTCGCTCTGTCTACCGCTTCTTGCGGTTACGGCTATATCACGTTGAAACACCAGTTCTCGTTAAGCAACGTCGAGCTTGACCAATACCTAGATGGGTGACCGCTTGGGAGTATCAGGTCCTGTAAGCTTGGATGTGCGGGTGGCATAACGGATTATGGCTCAGTATTGGAAATCGGAGGGCCGAATTCCAATTCCAGTGAGGTTCGTTTTATTCACTTAAGCGGAAACACTCTTGAGGAAGGCATGAATCAACTTCTCCCCGACCCAGCTATGGGTTAATTAGTAGAACTTTGTATCAGTAAATCATTATTATTTCAAAAAATATTCTAAAAATAGTTAAGGTTGATAAGCCGTAAAATAAACAAATTAATGAAGCAATTAAAATCTACCTTCTCTTTCTCTCTTTCTCTTTCATCTTTATTTTTGCTCTTTCTCTATGCTAAGCTCTTTTCTCTTTTTCTCTTCGATATTTTTCCTCTCTCATCTGTTCTGGGTATGACGATAAGCTACTTCCGGCAGCATGGTTTCTGATCGGGAGATTGTGGCTTTTGAGGAGCGTGGAACCACTTTATAACTGCTGTTGTTCCCAGGTCTACCCTGACCCGGGGTGTTAGCAACTGTTAGGGTTCCAACTAGGGGCAAATAGTGAACCCCTGCCCCCCCAAAAAAAATCAACGTCATTTTTATAGTAAAATGACCAAAACCACATTTTTTTATAGCAATATGACAATCAGTACAACACAAAAAGTATAAAAATGTAAACAATACATGTTTTATACAAATATTACCAACAATATATTTTTGTAGTGAAATTACAAGCAATAACTACTCTGAAAGTATGAATTTACGTACAATGTATTTAGATTTCGGCTGCTAAACAAGAACAACCCACCACCTCTCTCTTTTCGTATTCATTCTGTCCATATCTCCCGTTTCACGTACCCCCTCTCTCTCTTTCTTTCTCTCTCTCTTTCTTTCTCTCTCTCTTTCTCTCTCTTTCTTTCTCTCTCTCTTTCCCTCCGTTCTCTTTTCTCTTTCATCTACCATTTCTCTACTTCTCTCTTTTTCTATCCATCTTTATCGTTAGCAATTATTTCCCTTTTTTACCTAATGTCATCCCCCTTCTCTCTCTCTTTCTCTCTCTCTCTCTCTCTCTCTTCTGCTTCGTCTTCTATCACTCCTCTTATCTTGCCTAATTTTCTCCCTCTCTCTCTTGCTACCTGTCTGTCTCTTCTTTTTTTCTTTAATATTTCTCCTCCTTTTATTCATTCTTCAGATCACTTCTTCCCTGTTATTTCTCTCCATATTTATCGCCTCGATCTCTCTCATTTACCTTCTATCTCTCGACTCTCTCTCACACACTTCTCTCTCTCTCTCTCTCTCTATATATATATATATATATATATATATATATATCCCCTTGGTAAGTTGGGTCGGGTAAGTTGCAGAATGGGTTGGGTGGGGCAGAAAAAAAACTTTGAAGTTGGTTTCGATCTGTTTCATGTTTCAATAAAGGCAGTCTCATTTCAAGAACAAAAAGACCTTTCCGTTTTTTGTTTGTTTTTTTTTTTTTAATAACCTGCTATGAGTTGGAAAGCCAAACAAACAAGTTGCTTGCTTTAAAGGACTGATAAAACCAATCGGAAATTCTTAAAGCCCAAACGAAATGCAGGCAAAACAAAAAACAAACAAAATCCCAAGAGACGAAAATCTCTCCTGTAATCATGCAACACAATAGAAACGAACTTCTTTTGCACTTGTTAATGAAATGGCGCAATAATTAGCTCTTTATAAGAGAGATTCAGAGAAACGGTCTCGAATTTTGGCTGTGTCCACTCGTGTCTCATTCGTACTAACCCCGTCAAAAAGGAACAAATCAACCATGAATCCCACTTTCCTTTAAACATTGACTCTTGTCAGCCATTTTCTGGGAGCCTCGATTCAAAAAATAAAGGAAGACATTATATATATATATATATATAAATATATATATATATATATGTTGTGGTACGATACACCTAATTTACATAAGTGGAGTACCGACCATATAAATATGGGTTGGTATCGGGAAGACGGGGAAAATAGTAGGAAGAAGAGATCGAATCGAGAGACTCTGCCCGACTGAGATTTAGTCAACCCATTCTACAGGAACAGTCTTCCCAAGAATATACCAAAACTAACTGTAAATATTGTGTACCTTTTCCTTGTTTCAATACATTTTGTTTACGTACATTTTGTGTTGTATTATTATTATTCCATGCTTATCCAAGTTTCAACAATATATAATGTAAGTGTGACCATAATCTAAATAACCATATTACTAACTATACATACGTCGAATAACGTACACATACAGATGAGCAAATAAATATTTATTTAATTTCTGATGAAGATCAATGTAGTTAAACATAGCTATAAAGTATACACACACACACACACACACACACACACACATATATATATATATATATAGGGTATATCTGTAAAAGCACAATATGAATAAAAAAATATTTAAAAAACTTATCTTAGCCGACGCTTTTGGTCCTCAAAGTAACTTTATCAAGGCTAATGAAAGGATTTTATATGTAAGATATTTATATGCAAGAGCAATGTAATTATTAATTTTTTTTTAAATTCGGAACGCTCATAAATATTCATCAGGTTAGCCGAAAAATCAGGCAACCTATGGAGGATACGAAGTTATACAATTCAATGTCTAATAAACGAAATTGAGTAAGTGATGTCTTTGAATATATATATATATATATATATATATATATATATATATATATAATTATTTATTTAAAAATGATAACATAAATATGTTATAAAATCACTACAAAAATAGCCATTTTGTTTCAACACCTCTAGTTTCTTATACACCAATCCTATACTTGTATATATATATATATTTCTTTAATATTTCCCCTTTTTTAGCGAGATTAATGCTGGACAAGCATACACATAAAAATTTTAGATCCTAATGGAATTCTTTTCATTTACTTTTTCATTCGAAATAATCAAAAAATTTTTAGGAATACGTTCTGAAAGCGTCGCCCATGTGACGACAACGTGACCATGCTAAACGGAAAGCTGATCATTTTAAAAATTTTCAGTTATCTGTTTTGGATAAAACTTGTTTTTTATGTCCATCGTCTTTGTCAAATTGAACTGAATTGTATTTTAATGAATATTGTCTTGAAGAAGGTTTATTAAACCGAAACGTCAGACGTCGACATTTCATTCATTTTAAACAACATAACTGCATTTAAGGATTTTTGGTTTGTTTTTTCCAAATTTTTCTTCATTCTGTCGGATCTATATCCATTTACATTTGCTTACACACACACACACACATATATATATATATATATATATATATATAGAGAGAGAGAGAGAGAGAGAGAGAGATAGAAACTAAACTACAAGTAATGGAACGACTAATAATAAAACGAAAAATGCCAACACGCAATAATATCAACTATGAACACGCCCACAATATGTTGACCGTGTTTAAAAGATTCAAAAATAACACCTTCCCCACTCTATAGAAACATAGATAAAATATCTACACATATAGTTAAAAATAGAATAGCTGAAGGCTCTCGGATATACAGGTTGCGACGGGTAAATTGTCGCCATCTTACATTTTTAATTTCGCGCATATTCGTTTTTTGTTTGTTTTTTTCTCTTTTGGGGGGGGGGATTTGGGTGTCGACTGCACAGTGTAGTAGGTTTAGTCTGTGAGATAAAGAGTACCACAATGCAATTCACTCCGCCAGAAATTTGGAAATGGTATGCTGTACTGCTTGGCATTCGTCCCGAAAGCTCCAATACGAACCTTTCAGGGTGTTTGGATATCAATCTGAGGACAGTGCAGCGGATCCTGAGTCAAAGAGCGATCACTAGGGATAGTGACGTTATGCCCTCGTTCATCTTTCCACAGAGCCTCAGGCTCAATACGGAGGCCTACATGAAGTGCCTTGAGACGGTAGTTCTGCCCAGGGTGACGAGGATGGATACTGGAAGAACCTATGTCTGGCAACAAGACTCTGCACCATGCCACACAAGCAGGAGAAGCCAGTCATGGTTGTCAGACAATTTCTGCAACCGCATCACTCGTTACATCTGGTAACCTAACTTCCCAGACTGCAATCCTCTTGATCTGTGGGGCGCAGTTGAGCGAGATACCAAACTGCTTGTAACACCAAAGATGAACTAAAGGCAAGGATTATGGCAGCATTAAACCAACATAAACAAGATGATTGTCCAGAAGAATTGCAGGAAATTACGAAGTTGTCTGAAGATCGTGAGAGAAGGTAATGGCGATTTTATTGAATAGATTTATGCTTTAGTATTTCAAGATATTTTTGCGTAATTTTGGTAAATATATCTGTTAATATGGGATATCAGTGTTATTTTCATTTTTGCGTAATTTAGACAGCAATTTATCCATCGCACTCTCTATACACACTTTATGTCCAGAAAAGGTATCACTTATACGAACATAAGAAAAATTGAATAAAAAGCTTAATCGTAGTACCTTTTTAGTCGTCTTTAACGAAACTTGTATAAAAGAGTGATTGCTGCCTAAAATTATATATATATATATATATATATATATATATATATATATATATATATATATATATATATATATATATATATTAATTCACTAGACCGTCAAAAGAAGCAAGTTGAAGAGTTAACCTTTAGCACTCTGCATTATTACTTCCCATTCCACTGCATTCTTTTTCAAGGCCTCTCAGTTCCAGTATCCTAATTGTTAATTTCACTCAAAATTGTTTTCTGTTGCCATAGAAGGATATGACAACACAACTATGAAAGTCAAACAAATTTAATTTCAGAGATCAGAGTCACCTTCAGTGGCAGGATAAACTTTTTGTACAGTAAAGGAAGTTACATACATATTGATAAACGTGAACCTAAGAATATCACAACCGGAGCGGAGCGGGGGTGAGAAATGCAATTTCCCCCCTCCCCTGTCAGTGGGGAACCTAGTTCCGTGCGCGTGCTGTTGGATAGATCTATCTATATATATATATATATATATATATATATATATATATATATATATATATATATATATATATATATATATATATATATATATATATATATATATATACCGCTCTAGTTGAGCAAATTGGGCAGTCTCTCAAACATCTCTGACGAAGAATGTAATCCCCATGCTTAGGATTTGAAGGCTCTCGGCGCCGAACACACGCACCAGCCGAGAGTAATTGACGAAATTTCAAGTAGGTTACTGACTATGGAGACATATACATGAGAAAACGCCTGAGAGTGAAACGGTCGAAACGTGAAAATAACAACCTGACTACCAAAATGATTATGTTGCTCTGAAGAGGGAAACTTTGCAAATAAAGACAGTCTCGTTTCAAGAACAAAATAACCTTTGCGCTCTTTTTTCTAATAACCTGCTATGATTTACAAAAGGCAAACAAACAAGTTGCATGCTCTAAAGAACTGATAAAATCAAACGGAAATACTTAACGCCGCGCAAAATGCAATCAAAAAGACCAAATAAGCCGATTAGGCGATAAGAGGCCAAAACTTTCCTGTAATCTCGCAGCACAATAAAAGCGAACATATTTTGCACTTGTTAAAATGCGCAACGGCTAAATACTCGTAAAAGAGATTCATAAAACAAGGTTCGAAAGCTGGTTGTGTTCCTTTGTGTTATATTGGTACTGGCCCTTTAAAAAGGCAATTCCACTTTCCTAGAAATTTTGATTCATTGCCAGTTATTTTCAATGATCTCGATTCTAGGGAACTCAATTCAAAAATTAAAGGAAGGCATTTTTCTTTGTAGTTTTTTTGTTGTTGTTTTTCTTTTCTTTTTTTGCCGGGTGAACTTTATTACTTTTAGCTTAGTCTGGAACAAGGCTACATATTAAGGAGCACCTAGTGAGTATAAAACTCGCTACTCAACCCAGTCTGTTAATTCCATGTAAGATGCACAGTCTGTGAGAAAAAGAGTACCACGATGCAATTCACTCCGCCAGAAAATTGGAAATGGCATGCAGTACTGCTTGGCATTCGCACCGGAAGCTTCAATACGAACCTTTCAGAGTGTTTGGGTATCAATCTGTGGGTAGTGCGGAGGATCCTGAAAGAGTTGGATGAGTCTAATAGTGATTACTAATGACGGTGAATTTATGTCCCCGTTCATCTTCTCACATGGTATCTGGCCCAACACGGAGGCCTATATCAAGAGCCTTGAGGAGGTAGTGTTGCACAGGATAAAGAGGGTGACTGCTGGAAAACCCTATGTCTGCCAACAGGACACTGCACAATACCACACAAGCAGGAGAACCCAGACATGGCTCAGACAATTTCTTTGACCACATCACCCCTTACATTTGGCCACCTAACTTTCCAAACTGCAACCCCCTTGATTATTATGTGTAGGACAAGTAAAAGAAATCACTTGACTGAAGTTAGTACAAAGGCACAAGAGTAAGTTATCCAAAGAGAATTGAACTCATTCCCTGATGGTAATTGTGTTATATTCGGCCGCTAACAAGACGTTCATTCCGTCAAAACATATGTGTGATTTGGTAAACACCTGCAGGAATGGACTGCATTGTTCTCAGTTTATAAACATAACAGTCAAGCCAAAAAGATACGAATCAAGATGTGTAATCTCACCAAAGTGATTGTCTTGACTACAATCCATCGTTGGCGTTTATTTGTAGATGACAATGTGATTAGATGAAAATATAATTATTTACTCAGATAACGAATAATATTTACACAGATGTTAATGAACTGAAGATTAGTCTGCGAACATTTTGACTCGCAATTATTCTGACGCCATTTTCTTTTTAATTTCACCGTAAGCTCATGTATTTTTATTTTTTTATTTTTATTTACTGAATTATAGATGCCGTTTGGACTGTTGGCTGGAGGTGTTTTCTCATCATTTGAACAATTTTTTTTTTATATATCTTTCTTCTTCTTAAAAATGTTTGTGGTTTACAACGGATTTTTTCCGCCTTCTTTTCTTTATGATCATTTCAAGCCAAGCAAGGCGATAAAGCCACTGAGATGCAGTGAGTTACTGAAAGTGAAGAGAACAATTTTTTTATATATCTATCTTCTTAAAAATGTTTGTGGTTTACAACAGATTTTTTCCGCCTTTTTTTCTTTATAATCATTTCAAGCTAAGCAAGGCGATAAAGCCACTGAGATGCAGTGAGTTACTGAAAGGGAAGAGAAGCTGAGAAAACGTTGCCGAGGAGAAAGGACAATAAAAAGGATAGGATTTGAAGAGGCAGAAGATGACGATAGGCGCTACATTAAATTTTTTCAAGATTGTAATTCTCAGGAAAGTCGCAAGAGAGTTTTACAAGAGAAAGGTGCGAGAGAAGAAAACATCAGAAGAGAACTTGCGGTTAGTCTTAGCGATTTCAACAATAAAATGAAACCTAACTGCCAATCTAGTACTACGCTTAATTTCATTATGTTGAGCTATCAAAGAGGAAAGCTCATCAGAACAGTCACTGTGAAAATATTAATAGAAAAGTCACAGAGAAGCTACGTTTCAGTGGTGGGGAAATGAAATGTCAGGTCAGGACCGGTAATATAGCAGATTCCTTTTGGATTTTGTCAAGAATCTCTAGATACATATCAGAAGCACCAGACTAAATGTGGCAGTAATATTTTGTGCACAGAAGAATGGTAGTCTTAAAAAGGTGCAAGACAGATTCGGAGAAAACCCGACTTTCCAAGCAGCAGACTTAACAGTCGACCATTCCAATTCATTCATTCATTCTTATTCTTATTATTACTGTTATTATTATTAATATTATTATTTTTATTTCCCTTTATTTCTGGTGCATACGCATGTCTTTCCGGGTCCTGACCAGAGACCTAAGTTTAGAAATCGCATCATTTTCCACTGAGCTGTTTTGAAAAAAAAATCACACGTGTTTTACAATATGTAAGGTGTGACTGTACTTGTGAGAACATGTTTTTGTATTTCTTTAAGGCATGGATTCCCTGGAATCTTCAATGAGTCTATGAGATTATTATTAAAAATATTATTATAATTATCATTATTATTATCATCATTATCATTATTATTATCATTATTATTATTATTATTTCCTTGGGTTTCTGTTATATACACATTTCTTTCCGGTTCCCACCCAGAGAACTAAGGTCAGAAATGGTTTCGTGATATCTTCCATTGATCTTTGTTTTCTTTAAAAAAAAATAATTGAGATCACAAACAATTTACATAGATAAATCTCTTCGTAATATGTGAGCTGTACTTGTGAGTACAATTTTAAGTCTATCAGAAGCTTTTCCAATCCTTGTATTTTTTTTTTGTTTTGTTTAAGATCTTCAAAGATACATTACAATCTGCAGGGACTGTCATATCAATAACAAAGCATTTTCTGTTCTTGTGATCTTTGATCAAGATGACTGAGCAATTCGCCCACTCTATCCTTCCGAATTTTATATTCAGTGGCTGCTAATACCGTGCAACCTATACAAGATGGTCAATTGTTTCTGGATATTTATCACAGGATCTGCATTTAGGGTCAACACAATTTTTCAGGATGTGTACTTGGTAATTTCTAGCTATCAAGCATTGGTCATGTGCAGCAAGAATAAGACATTATTATTATTATTATTATTATTATTATTATTATTATGTTCGTTTGCCCATTTTTGTTTTCAACGGGAGTTCTTGCATTATGAGTGTTCTCCATTCAGTCATACGAGTTCTATTAGATAACATCTTTCGCAATGCTAACAATGCAAACTTCTTAAGCAATGGGATACTAGGTTTTATTACGATTTTTCTCAATAAATGGATTATTATCATTATTATTTGTAGAAGTAGTAGTATATTTAAAATCAGAAAGAGGCAGTTCAATTTTCTGGGACATATAATGAGAAAAGAGAGCCTGGAGAGTCTAGCACGCGCAGGACATATCGAAAGCATGAGAAACAAAGAGAAAGAGCAAGTAATATACTTTACATGTTAAAGTGAGTAGATCACAGAACAAAGGAAAAAATAGGAGGTTAAAGAGTCAAAAGGCATGAAGTTGTGGAGGGCCATGATCGCTCAACTTCTGAAGGGGGCACGACATATAAAAGCAACAGTAGTAGTAGTTTTTCAATTGAACAATATGGGGCTTCAAGTCGTGCTGTTGTGTTTTATCATTTTATTTTACACATTTTCTACTTTTTCAATATCATCACATCTTTTGTTAAGGTAATTAATTTAATGATGAATACTGATCACAACGGTCGGACATTTTTTTCTATGTGCCGTGTCCTTTCAGGACGTAGGCGGTCATGGCTCTCCACCTCCCTCTATCCTTTGCAGCTCTGAACAAGTTCCTTCTCTCTGCCACCTCCTCCAGACCACGTTCTGTCATCCACTTGCCCTCCAGATATGTCATGCATTGTTTTCCCTTGTCTCTCTTTCTCTTTATTCGACCCTTAAGTATCATATTCTCCAGGCCCTCCTTCCTCCTTATGTGTCCCAAAAACTTCAGCCGCCTCTTCTTGGTGTCAAGTATAAACCTCCTCCTTGTTTACATCCTCACTAAGACCTCATCGTTACTGACACGCTCGGTCCATGATATCTTTAGCGTCCTTCTGTAGAACCGCATCTCCGTCGCATCGAGTCTCTTCTTCATCTTTAAGGAAATCGTCCAACATTTGCTAAAGAGTAATAATTTCATATCAAAATTCGAATATTAACCATGCGTCAAGTTACGAATAGAATAATTTTCTCCTTTGTATACATGCTGAATAAGAGGAGGCACGGTGGAGTAATGGATATCGGCTTGGATTGAGGAATCGGAGAGCCGAGTTCGAATTCCAGTCGAATCCATTACATTCACTTACGTGCTAATACCTTTGGGAAAGGTATGAATCCTCTTCTTCTCCCTCCAGCTATGGGTAAATAGCAGGACAGACTTGGTTCTATAGCCTTGGATGGCAACTACTCTAGGAGAAGGAAAACTCTGAATTCAAAACCTGCGGGGGGTCGTTTGGGGACCTTGTGGAACGTAGTGCACCAGGTCTCTGTAATCGGCCCTTGAAAAAGTGTGGATGGTCCTGCACGAAACCTTCACCACTATAACCAAATTTCATGTGCTGTACATGCTTTTTGGGACCGTTTGTGAATTCCAAATTCCCATGAAACTCTAATATTGGAACCGGCTCAACTCACCCCGGGTGAATGCCGTTACAGGTAGGTAGAGGGTATGCTGAATAAAAAAAGTTGTTCTTTAAACTGAAGGAGACCACTCCGTCCGTCTTTTCTCTCTGTGCCAAGACGTGGATTATATGGCTCTCCACAGCTTCCTTTTTATTACTTTCATTAATATTTGATCCTTTACGATCCCTTTTAGTCGTGCTTATTCCATCATCAACTTCCATCGACTTTCCTCTTTTCTGAAATATCAGTATGTCCTGTGAATGTTAAATTTTCCAAGTTTTCTTTCTTCTTTGTGTGTCACCCTGAATTTAAGATTTTAGAGAGAGATTGTTGGCAACAGTTTCTATTAGCTCCTTTCCTTTATTCGTTCGTAAAACCGCATCTCGGTAATTTCATTTGTGCCGTGATATCCCAGCATTCCCTTGGCATAAGACGTTATATAGCGTCCATCACGCTTTTCGTCTTTTCCTTTCCGCGGAACATTTGATCCCGTAAGACCTTTCTCGTTTACTTTAGCTTCACTTACGTGCAATTGGATTTCTGTGTCACACTTTTCGTATCTTTATGCAAATATATTACGGCTCGTTTAGCGAGATCTTTGATGTAAGGTGAAGTGCTTTGTTACAAATCAATACAAGAGGTAGAGCAGCATACACAAATCTATTGTTGTAATATGTCTTTCCTGGCAGTGTTCCCGTACGATCATTAAAGTTAAGCAACGTCAGAACCTAGATGAGTGACTGCTTGAGAATACTAGGTGCTGTAAGCCTGCATCTGCAGGTTATGTATGGATAATGGCGCGGAATTGATAATCGGAGAATCGAGTTCCAGTTGGGTTCGTTACCTTCCCTTACGCGCAAATAGCTTTGGGAAAGGTATGAATCCGGCTTTCCTCTATTAGTCATACTTGTATCAGTAAACTATTATTATCTTGCAATCTAAATATTTTCTGGCTTTAAATAACCGGCAAAGGGTTGATAAACCGTAAAAAAACGCAAAAAAATATTTTCTGGCTTTAAATAGCCGACAAAGGATTACTAAACCGTAGAAAACGAAAAAAAATATTTTCTGGCTTTAAATAACCGGCAAAGGGTTGATAAACCGTAAAAAACACAAAAAATATTTTCTGGCTTTAAATAGCCGACAAAGGATTACTAAACCGTAGAAAACGAAAAAAAATTTTATTTTCTGGGTTGATAAACCGTAAAAAACAAAAAATATTTTCTGGCTTTAAATAGCCGACAAAGGATTACTAAACCGTAGAAAACGAAAAAAAATTTTCTGGCTTTAAATAGGGTTTTAAACCGTAGAAAATAAATATTTTCGGGCTTTTTTACAAATATTCATCTATCCAAGAAATATTTTTTCATTTTTTTTTTCCTATTTCTATCGAATAACAATTACAGATTAATAATATCGATCTTTTTCTTTTAATTTTCTCAACAGAGGAATTCAGTTTGTTACTCAAATTCGTTGTAAATTGAATTTCTCTACGCAAGCCAAAACAAAAAAAGCGATATGCTCATACCACGTGATAAAACAAATTCTTACAAAATTTAAAATAATTTTAAGTCAAAATTAAAAAAAAAATATAATATTTTATTATTTAAACCTATTCTTGCTTTCTTTTCTGTGTGTTGTGATAAAATTCAAAGTATCTGAATTACATACAAAACCTATATAAGTAAATGCGAATATCTGAGATATATATTTCTGAGATGGCGTATTGTAATTATTAAGATTATTTACATTGCTCGGATTGTTGTCCTCATCTTTATTGCAATATTCACGACGTTTCGGCCACTGCACGCTCTGGCCTTTTTCAGTTGATTTGAATTTCGAACTGAATCCTTCATTTCGTCCACTGGAGTAGATTGTTCTAGTTCCAAGTGCCATGCCTCTTCCTCATGTCTCAGTTATCTATCTTTAACACACCTCCAACTTTTTGTTCATCATGTCATCAAGGACACATGGTGCAGTCAATAAAAGCGTTGGTTGTATCCACTGACTTGTCTCAAAGTTCTGTGAGTTCAATTCACAGCTACAGCAGTGGGGAAAAGAAAGTCACGCGCAAATGAAAACCCAGATCAAACGGCTGCCGGGAAAGCTTCCAATGCTGAGAATATGCAAGCTTTTAGGGACTGTCCAATTTTTGAACAAGCCGAAGGTCCAATTAAGAGCCCTTCGCAGGAGCTAACTTAAATTCCGCACCTTGGCAAATAAGCGGAAAAATGATAAGGCTCATCATAAAATCACATAAGCAGGAAAAACAATAAGGCTAATGAATAAATCATGGGTCTAATAAACCTAACAGGATTCTTTACGTGACAGAATCGCTTGAAGAAGGCGGAAGAATAAACCGGCTGAAATGTAGTTAAACAAAAGATTAGCACAGTCGCTTTGTCGTGAAATGTTAGCGATTCAATCTTACAGATTATGACTTCTAAAGTAAAAGCAGTTTTCACTGGACGCTCAATAACTTTGACCAAAATTGATAAACACCTATCCCACAGACATGAAAAAAAAATACATAAATATGGAAATCAAGATGGCAAGCAAATCTCCAAAGACAATTGCTGTTATTCACTTTGATTCTCATTAGATGCTCCATACTTATAATCTTGTGCCAGACTGAGTAAAACGAAGATATAAAACGTATCAACGGCCAAGTGTCCGTGACTGAGGCGAGTCTTCAATTTGGAGGGCATCGGCTGTGATTAGACCTTTAGATGGATGGGTTTCGTCAGGTTTACTTGCCCAAGACACGCTACGAATGAATGAATATCTTCCGAGGTTTCACCCCGATATGTAGAGGGAACTCATCTCATGTAGAGGAGCTCATCTACTCAGCGATCCTACGACCACAACCGGGCAGAGCACTGATGATGATGATGATGATGATGATCACGGTGATGATGATAATATTATGACACTCTCGTATATAGAGGTATATGCATTTTCTACCAGCCTCAGCAGTCAGTGTCCTTGTCTAGTTTAAAGCAAGTGGATTTCGAATGCTGATTTTCAAAGAAGGTAGCATTTCACCCCCAAGCAAGGCGGGATGTCACTAGTACGCAGGGGGTTACAGAGTGGGAGCGAGAGTAAAGAGACGTGATGGAGGAAAGAATGAAGAGAAGGACAGGGAATAGGTCAGGGGATCTGGAGATGTCGAGTGACATTACATTTGAATAGTTGGAGTTTATAGCTATCAGGGAAACAAGTAATGGAAAGGGAATTCTACAAACGGGAGGTGCGAGACATGAAGCCATTGGAGTAGAAGAGACAGCCATATTTAACCGTTTTGACAGTGAAAGGGTGGGGCCGTGATGTCAGCCTAGTAGCACGCTTAAATTCATGCAATCTGGGAACTAGCGAAAGTAGCTCGTCGGAGCAGTTACCGTGAAAGTATTTGTAGAAAAGACAGAGGGAGGGAACGACACGTCTGTGAGAGAGCGACTGTAGACGAGATACCAGATCAGGACCAATCACATTGCATATCCGTCTCTGGATTTTGTCGAGGACCTTAAGGCGAACAGCATGGGCATCAGACCATATATGGCAGCAGTATCCCCTGCAAGGGCGAATGGTTGATTTATAGATTTGAATGATGGACTCGGGCGAGAAAAACTTTCTGGCGCGACAGGGGAACCAACTTTCCTTGCCGTGGTTGAAGCAATTGATTCAATGTATTTGTTCCGACTCAGATCAGCGGACAGTGTGAGACCAAGCAGTCGCAAAGAAGTGCTCTCGTGGAGTTGAGCATCAGACATTCTAATGGGTGGCAGGGATGGTTCCCCTTGGTGAGTAATAGAGAGCAGTTTTGTTTTAGAAGCATTAAAGTTAACCAGCAAATTCCTGCCCCAGTCTGCAACCGATTGGAGGTCCTTTACGAGACTAACGGCCAGGTTAGTTTTGTCAGCGATACCAGATTTCCTATTGAGGCAGGAGTAAATTCGTCAGCATAGATGCCTATTTGGGAACTGATGACATCGGGGAGATTGTTAATGAAGATAAGGAACAGAGTAGGGCCCAGGATGGAGCCTTAGGGAACACCTGCGTTCGTGAGAAAGGAAAGAACAAAATTTCATAAAGTTTTTCAGTAGGTGGCGTTTTGACACGTGATTTCCTTCCACACATGACTGAAATTTATGACATACTAGCCTTGAAGCCGCCCTTAGGGCAGACTTTAGGCTAGCTCCCATTGGGGCTTTTTGGACCTTCGACCTTTTACCTCCAACGTCCTATGTACTTAAAAGTTATAATTTAGAAGTAATAAAATTATTTTATCTTTTATTTGACACCTTAATTCGGCATAATCTTTCTTCATATACGCAACCAATCTTCGTAGTTTGTTTACATTTATTTTTGCTGGAAAATTTTTATTTTCTTTTAAAATCATTATTCTTTATGATCCCGTCACATAAAGTCACACTTAAAAGACATTAGGGAATACGCGTGGTAGAAAACGAAAAAATATATGAGCAACGTACTGTGTCCACCCCCCCCAAGTTTTAATTACGCTCGCAATTGTGACGAAAAGCATAATTAAAGTTAAATCTTTAATAAAGAATTGTTTTTTTTTTATTTGTTCAATATTTAAATTTAAAATAAATAAAGGGTTCAGTTCGACATTCCAACCACCTGAAGAAGGCCGGAGCGTAAACCGGCCGAAACGTTGTGATAAACATGGCAACAAAGATGAGGACAATAGTCCGAATAATGTAAATAATTTAAATTTAACTTTAAATGAGTTATTTATTTAATTTTTAATCATGTGTAACTACAGTAGTTGTTACCCGTAACTTCAGGTTGTTTATGATTCGCCGAGATCAAAAAGCGGACGGAAGGACGGACACGCGTACACTGCACTTAATTTATATAGAAATACATGTTCCGAAAAGTGACATGTGAACGAGTCTTTCTATACGGTACGTGGTTGGATTGTCGATTATTAAATGCTCTTACGTTAAAAGTGAAAATGGTAGTAAATGAGATGCATTTTCATCATTTGATACGCTTTTATTTTCGGAAAGGAAAACGCAGTACAAAGTGCAGAAAATATGTGTGCCGTGTACGAAGCTGGTACCATAACCGAAAGTAGTGTTCATCAATGGTTCTCTAGGTTCAGAAGTGGAAATTTTGATCTGGACAACCGAGAAAGTTCCGACAGGCCTGCAATCATTGAGGATGACTATACGAGAAAAGCATTTGAAAAAAAAAAAAACTTCGAAACATGAATTTCTACGATAATTGGTTACCTCGTGATTTAACACGCAAAAAAGAAAAACAATTTGGTGACCCCCAATTCCATATAAGAAATTTTGATCTACAGGACCGAGAACGTTCCGACGGGCTTACAATGATTACTGGTGACCAAATCGAAACACTTATTAAAAATAACCCTAGTCCCATGACTCGGGACATCGCAGAGATACTCCACGTATCTGAAACGAGTGTTGCATGGCATTTAAATACAGTTGAATACGT